TTTAATTAAAAATAAACGTCAAGCCCAAATGTGATTTCCGTGTTTAAAAGATTGATTATCAAACATAATGTTCAATAAATTAATATGAAAGAAAAAACTATGAATATTAAACTTACTAATATTTCCGTTAAATCTAATTGGTCATCAAAACAAATAAGTTATCTTTCATTTTAGTTATGACACTTGTATTTAATACAAATAGTATTAAAGAAAAATTCAGATGATTTGGAAATTATCTTTTAGAATTTCTTAGACTGTTACATAATATATGTGTAGATGATAATAACTTTTAGATAAAAGACAAAATTTTTAACATACAGTCAATGTTGTACTATTGACAGTAAATATCATATTTTGATCATGTTGGAATGATCCAATATTCTTATTTTGATTAGGGATTGCTTAATTACAAAAAATTTGATATTGATGTACAAACTGTTTGCTATCTTATATATAGCACAAGTGTAGTATTTTCTAATGCTAGAATTGAATCAGCGACATTTAAAGGATATTAATATTGAAAGAATGAATGATATACAAAAAAAAAGATTATAATGAGCTAAGGCTGATCATGCAGAAACGGGTAAATACTGGAAAGATTTAATTAGCAAAAAAATCCACAAATGAAATAAATTTTGTCGCGGTCAACTCTAACATTTTGCATGATACACATATCAATATCGAATTTTCGTTATGATATTTATTTTAGTCGAAAATTATCATGCTCGAAATTGTCACAAAACCGGTTAACAATAAGGATCATGATCATAAATATGTACAAAAAAAACAAGAAAACACTACAATCATAAATTCTCATTACGTTCAGACAGTGTCATCATTTCTCTGCCGTTTTGTTCTAACTATTTAATATCAATTTGACAGTTTGTAACCAATATCAGGTTTTACAATAAACGAATAATTTCTTAATTGCTTTTCTTATTCAATCATTATCTCTATATGTTCGAGCTCGATAGAAGTATAGTAAATTGTATTAATTTATCTGATGCCAGTCTTTTCGTCATCTATATCCTGAACAAATAGTTTGCTTAGCCTTTTTTCGTAAGGAAAACAACTCAGAATTCAATAATGAAGCAGAACTGATTCGTACACCGGGCACTATTGAGAACATATACTTAAGGAGTGACTTTACCAAGGAATGGTGTCATTACATGCTAATGCGCTGAAGTTTGTGTCGGAGAACAGTGACATCTGATTTACTTGCATTATTTAACAAAAATGAAGAGGATGATTTTTTCATTTTTTTTTTGTTAAAGCTAATCCTCCAGAAGAATATAATTCATATCTTTGCTCGTCAGTTTAAAACCAAAAATCGATGAGATATTAAACAGCTCACGTCGATTCATTTCTAGTTCGCAACTGACATCAAAGGTCTAAATTCATCCCATGTCTTTCAGTAAATCTGGTAGACAGTGACTTATAATGCTCAAAAACAAAATGCATCACATGATCACAACGAAGTATCGATTAACTATTGATGAGTGATAGAAGACGAGTTCGATATCTCACACTAAAGCTATGCTTAAATTTTGTTGAATTATAAAAGAATTCTGAAACTATGAATCAATGTGATCTACAGGTAGACATGAGGACCAAAGTGAATCATGTTTTGCTTTCGTTCTCTCTTTCAGTTTTGTCGAACGAGAAAAAAATATATTTTGCATTTGTGCATCCAAATATTATTCATTTCTTATAAAAACATATCATATTTCAAATTTTTTTTCTTCTTGAAAGTATTCTATAGCATGAAACAATGCAGTTCGTAAGTTTGTGTTTTACTCCATTCTAAATACTTTAAATTTAAGTTTTAAAATCGAATCGATACGTTGTTTACGATTGATGTCATCGTTTTCTACATTTATTCCGTAAAATTTCTGTATATAGTCAACAACATAAGTTCTTGTCCAGTATGCTGCCCATTTTCTGGAATTCCTTTAGCATGGTTGAAGAAAAAACTCCGCCACTTTCAAACTGAATAGATCTGAAATAGTCAAATAAACTTTCTTCTCGACTTCGAATTGCCTAATTTTTTTATTATCGAGATATATGTGGCACAAACAATCAAAATGACTCAACTAATGTTCCTTATTTTACCAATAGAAGTTAATGGAGAAAGCAAAAATTTTTTTTTTCTACAATACTCCAAACGAATCATAGTGACTGCTGTTTTTTTCATCTTATTTTTTTTGTAATTTTATAGGCAACGAAAGCAAGGTAAAATATGAATAGTGTCACTAAAATACTTGTTAGAACTAGACTCAGTCAAATGTAACAAAATGCAACAAAGTAATAGTTAGGAAGATCATAACGTGTTGTTTTTCATACAACAAACTTTCTTTGTTGATGTGGGGTTGAACACAAGACATTTAAATGCATGTTGACAGTCAAATATAATGATATGCATCATGTAGGTTCTAATGAGCTATGAATATCATGAATTGAGTCTCAATCAATAACTTCTTACTACCGAGGTATTGTATCATATACAATAGTGAATGCTTATGTTGTAATTTCACAAAAGGAACAATGGAAAAAGTTAAACCGTTCACAATAAACTATTCTCGTTAATTTCTTTCTCTATGCAAAGTTTCAAGTCGAAAATTGAAACTATACGCTTTTCTGATATTCCTGATCCCGAGGAACAATACGATTAAAATTCAGTATATCCGTAACAATAAATTACTACTCTGAAATCATTTCAGGATATTCTTAGTTCATTAGAACCTACATGATGCATGTTGTCTTGATTAAAGAGCGCTATTACACTTAGAAATGTTTCTTTGTATGATGAAAATCATATACAACGAACGTGATGACATTAAATAGAATTTTTTTATAAATTTAGCCCAACATTTACTTTCCTATTTTCTAGAACTATTGTCAGAAATATTGCAAAAGTATTTCACTAACGTATTTGATTACCTGATCAGCACTTAGATAACATGGGTCAACAGGTGTCTTCAACTAATTTAAAACCTCCTGATTTACTTGTAACACATAATCAACAGTCAAATCAGATATTATCTAATGATCGAACAGAAGATGTGCATTTATTTTTACCATTGGATGTCATCAATTCCATAAGTCAAAATTCGATTGAATTGCCAATTACAAAACAAACATTGATCAAACAAATTCGAGCTGATCTATCTTTACTAACAAATTCAACTGGATTAGATGAGTTCAACAAGGAGATTGCAGGAATAATTCAACAAGTTTTTGATTATATTGCAACAACGAATACAAATCTACAAAATGCTATACAATCAAACATTCACAAAGAACAACAATTGAAAAAGTCTTATGCTGAAAAATTGAAGGACGATGAAAATACAACTACTTCTATATTTGATCAACCATTTGTCGATTCTTCTAGTGAGGAGAACATATCGAATGAAAATCAAACAAAGAACAATTCGATCAAACAAATACGATTACATCAATTTCAAGCTGAACAACTCTCATTTTTTGCTGTTCAATCGTTAATATCTATGCTAATGATGTTAATGCAGTCGGCACAAGCATATGATTCTAATATTGTTCATCGAATGCTCATTTTAACAAATCAACTTGTCGAACAAATTCCACTAAACTATCTTTCTCCAGACGTTTACAAAAAGTCAAGTAATTTGTTTAAATCTTTGAAACCATTGGTCAATTATATCAATGAATTTTCAATACAAACTGAAATCGATCCTATTGCAGCAAATCAATCGATTACAATCTTATTAAATTTTTCGATTATCAAAGGCTCATTCAAAGATATTCTACCATTAATCAGCAAATTACTGTTCAATACAACTGATATTTATGACATAAGAAGATTATTCATAGAATTGAATAAAGATCTAACAACAATGATGAATCAATTCAAGAAAGAAAAGCAGACACCAAGTGACACAGCAACAACAGCAATTACATCACAGAACGCTACAGAAAGTGACAGAACATGCAAAGAACAGGAACAAACAGGTAAGAGAAATTCATATAGAATTACTAACATTGAGATATTTGAAAAATGCTCTAAATTTGATTTGTTGTAGAAGCAGTTGGATCCACTGAAAAACTATCCGATATAGAACACAATTGTTTGGCCTCATTAGAATATCTTAAATCGATTGAAGCGTTTCCCAGCACAAAATTAATAGCATTAAACGAGAAAAAATTCACGGGTCAATACATATCTTCAATCTTACTTGTTCATGTCGATTTACACAATCAACTTCATGCAAAATCACAATTCGAATGTGGTTCTATGATTGGTTCGTTTTCATTTGAATTTGAACCAGAAACATTCAAATATTTATATAAAATAATCGAACAATTAACTATGATGCAAGCATCATCGAACAATAATCTCGAATATATTTTGACCGTTTGTCTACGATTATTTACAACACATTTTAAATTTTTAATTGCTTCAAATATTGACAATTTTCATGATTTTATGAACGAAAATGATATTGAAAAATGGTTCATATTAATATCAAAATTTGCTTTAAATGATAAATCAGAAGAGAGAAAAATAGAAGCATCGAAAACTTTGATTGATTTGATTGATAAGAAACTATCATCGTTTCCCAAAATGTTGACATTTTTTCATACATACATCATGGAAAATAAACATCCAATATTAATTGAACAATTATTTAATAAATTAATTCAAAATGTATTTATATATAAATGGATCGAAGTTTTATGTGATGATCGTAATGTTCAAGATAGAGAATTAGCATATACAGTCTTACATTCGTTTATGAACATTGTCTTAAAACCAAATTCGATGGATGTTGAAAAAATTAATAAATTACGTGACATCATACTGATATTTCAAGAATTATTATTCGTTCACTTGAATAATCAACCTATGGATGTATCAGATGAACTTAAATCATCTGCTCTATCGACACTTACTATGGACTATACGACACATGTGATCAAATATTGTATTCAACAAAAAGTTAAAAGTGTTTTACTAGAGCCACTTCTGCTTGGTCTATGTACTCTTACTGAATCGAAATTTAACTTTGCTATCATACAACCAATTTTTACTGCTATTCTACCTGTATTTGCTGAATACTTAATACAAACAACAATCGATGTAGATGATAAAAATATCAATCTAATTTCATGGTTAGTAGCAAAGATGAGCCATCGATTAATTGTTGGCCCACCACAGAGTTCATTGGAGAAAAAATATAATACAGCATTGAAGTTACCATTATTTGCTGGTGGATATGAAACGTTAACAACAGATAACAATTCGTATTTATCGACTTTATTCAAATCTGATTTAGCGGTTTACAGTCAATTTGTAGTACCTTATCGACAACAACAATCAGTATTAGACAGTGAATTTTTACTCTCAGTTTATAATAATACCAATCAAGGTGCACAATTGATTTCAAAAATGAAATTATTCACTCGAGATAAACAACGTATCTTACAAAAATCAATTGAATCAAATGCTGATGATGCATGTGCTGCAGTATTTGCAGTCTATATTAAACATTATCGTCGTATTGATCTAGCTCAACATGAATTAATTCAACCAATTGATCAAAAACCACATGCTAAACTTCTTTCATTGTACGAATATGCTAATCAAGTAAGAATGATTTTTGCTACGACCAAAGCTCAAGGTGGTGATTGTGACGAACTTTATAAAAAAATTAAAAACGATGCATTATTATTACTCATATCAGTCAAAGAAAGTTCTTATATATCAACAATTAAAGAAAATCTTTCATTACCAGTAATCACTACCAATCAATCGAAATTACAACGACAAAAATCACGTTGGACAAAAGCAAAATATATTATTCGATTACTTCGTAATGTATTGAATGCTTGTATACGATTGAAATATTTAATGTTGGCAAAGAAACAAGCCGTTGAACAAAAGAAGGATAGTGAAAGTGTTATGCATCAAGCTATTATGACTTGTCTATATGGAAATGAGGCAGCAATAACTGCAGTGAATGGTGAATTCAAAATTCAATCTGATGAAGTTGTCAAATGTTTGATTCGACAATATCAAAGAGCTATGACTAGATGGATTACATATGTATTTATTCATCGATTTATCGAACAAGTAACTACTATCAAAGATAATAATCGAATGTTAAATATTCTAGTTATGGATTTAATGAATTTGAAAGGTAATAATTTAGATTGGCATTATCTCGAAAATATTCAAGCATCAAATAATCAATTAAAAGAAGATATTGGACATCGATACTATTCAATTACTAAAAAAGTATTATCATTCTCAAACGAATCTACATTGGAATCCAATATAAAAACAATGCTTATGTTTTGTTTATTTAATCTCTTAAATCTATCCTATGATTCGATGGATTTATGTCATTTAAATTATTTTCAATTTTTTGAAGAACTATTTAATTTGTTTGTTAGATTTGCTCAAATGGATTCGACTACAATCATTTCGAAAGATATGAAACTTACAGCATTCAATTGGTTTCGTCTATTTGTATTGAGAGTATGCGAAAATATTGAAATAGAAGAATTACGAAATACACATTTTGGTAGTCGAAAATTCCATCATATTTTACAACAACAACATGATTTAATTTTTAACAAGTTAATTTTAACTGAACTTAAAGAATTGCAACAGAATAAAACAACATCAACACCTGAAGAAGAAAGTGAAAACTTATCATTGAAAAATGTTTCTGTCGGCTATTTTATTTCATCATCAACGTTTGATACCGATACTTGTATCAATCAATATTTAATGCTTCTACTTCGGTGTGTTCATTTGTATGATCATATTCGATCACATTGTGCTACAATGGAATGTATTCAACAATTATTGAATTTATATCATCAAAGCCAACTTCTTAATACTCGTCTATTAACATTAAAAATTCTACGTGATCTCTTGATATTTTTGCCAGACAATACAAACGAAACAATACGTCGATGTTTTATTGAGAATTTATTAACGGATATTTTATTTTCTATTGGTCAAAATTTTAATATATTGGAAAAAAATAAAATAGATCTCGATATTGTCATCGAATTTATTTATATCTATCGTACTATAATATCACAAAGCTCACCATGGCAAAAAATAGCAACTAAATTAATTATCGATGCAATTAAATCAAGTACGAATTTCGATTGGACATCATTAGAATCTGTTGAAATACGACAAATGAATTTCTTTCTTGCATCGTTATGTATCTTAGGTGGTTATGTTGAACCATATTGTTTAGGATCAACGGTAGAAATCTATACTGTTGATAAAAATATTCATGAATCAGAACCGGCAACTATCATTGAAATCGATACAAATGCTATTGAGTCAGATTCATCTGATGTTACACCTTATCTCATACAATATGCTGCAACAAATCACATTCAATCGGTTTCATTGAGTCAATTACGTATCATTACCGATATTCTTCCACCAAATATAACACTTTTACCAATAGATAATGTCGCTCATAGTATTCTTGATACATTGGGCTTTCTAGCGCAAATTGATACATCGAAAATTGATTCATTGATATTACTACAAATAAAACGTCGTGCTATAATAGCATTCTATTCATTATTAAATCATAAATCAGTTGTCGATATTTTCCTACAAAAACCTTATGCATCACTTATTGCTAAATTATCGATATCAATTGACAATCTTAATTCAAACGATAGTATAAAACCGAACGACTTACGATTGTTTAATCGATTACATCTAGACCAATATAATTTGAGTTTAGATAAATGTGAGAGAACAAAACAAATAGTGCAAGATGACATTGAAACTATTGGTAATATAAATAAATGGAATACGATTAAAATTAATCGTGATGTCATTATTCTACAGTATCTATCTTCAACGACTTCGATTGACGAAGGATGGAAACCTATTGCATCTAAAAGAGAAATACAATCATATAAATGGGGTAGAATTGGGAATAACGATATTCGTATTGTTCCTTTATCTATCAATGATAATATACCAGCATTAGAAGAATGTGGTGATAAGCATAAATTCAAAGGAAGAGTTAAAATAACTGATAATACTGGAAATATTTACTATATGACTTATATTATGGATAATATACAATTGACCGAAGGAAGATGGTACTATTGCATTAAACTTCCATTAGGTGGTTCAGCACGAATTGGCTGGGCAGCAAACGAGTTTAGTCTTACACCAGATATTTTAAGACGTGTGGGTGACGATCAACTTTCCTGGGGCTATGAAGGATCATCAGGATATTGTTATTATTATAACTCACATAGCTTTCGGGATGACATTCGCTGGAAATCAGGGGATGTCTGTGGTTGTGGTATTGAAATCAATGGGGAAAATACGACTATCAAATATTGGTTAAATGGTCAATGTTTAGGTACAGCATTTTCACACTCGGAAAATAATAATATTCAAGCAACTATTAAAACGAATTTATTGCCCAATGGACTTAATACTTCTTATTTTCCTGCTGTTAGTGTAGAAGTCTATTCTAATGAGAATAATACAGGTGCTTTTGACTTTATATTTAGTCCAGAAGATATGACTAACTGTCCTTTACCGAATGGTTATAAGCCATTATTAATGCCGACATTAATGACAATGGAAAATGTATTAGTAGCTTATCCATATAGTGCCTATCTCATTGGTAATGATATTCATCAATATTTCTATACGAGTCGATGTTCAAAGCAGGATTCAACTGAAAAGAAAATTTCTTTGATACGTGATTTTGTTAATGATCATCATTGCAAAGTTCCATTTGATATCGATATGATAACAGCTGATCATCATCTATTGAAACTATCGAAAGATAATGATGGTTTTCCACTGTCAATCGATAATGATCAATTGTTGACTGTTAGTTTCGATTTTGAAATTATGCCAACAGATGAAATGAGAAATCTTCCGAATGAACTCGATATTATATTATTTGCTCTAGAAAATGAAATATTTTCAATTCGAATATATATAAATGATATGAATGATGATTTTATTGATGAAACAATGAAATATCGACAACGTGTTGCCATCCTATTTCGAACAAATGAACAAACCAAAGTCTACATTAACAATAAATATCAAACGTTGAATTACTGTCATCGTTTTGATCCAACAACAAAATCAAAATTGAATCTACGACTATTACCATATCTATATGTCGGAATTCGAAATCTAGGTGTATGGAAATATACACTTTCGGAAGAACATATTCGACGTCTCTTCACTTATGGTCTATTATATGTTGCTGTCGACTATCAAAAATTGATTGAATATCGAAAACAAGCAAATACTTTCGTATTTACAGCAGAGCAAAAATATTTTACAAATGAAACACTAGTTCCATTTAATGAATCATTTGAAGAGAATCTATGGCGAAGAAGAAAACAATTCGTTGATCATTTTGAATGGACCTATTTTAAGGCAATACCTGGAACTAATCGATCGGTCATACAATTATTTGGAAATAAAACTTATCTAGTTTTAAACACTGCAAACCAAGTGTGGTCTGAATATACGCTGATTCTTGATATTTCTATACCCAGTTTTCCATCAAATAGTGAGACTCGATTAACATTATTAACATTGAATACACAATCAGAAATTTATCTTACTCATGACGGTCATATTTGTGTATCCGGAGGACATCAAAGTTCATCAATAGTGAAGTTACAAAAATACACTCGTTTGCTTATTTCTGTTCAAGAGAAATCTATTAATATCTATGTCAACGGTTCGTTAGAACTCAAAGCATCAATTACAGAGGATCAATTTGCAACAAAATTGAAACGTATCGATTTGTTTCGAGAGATAGATTTGACTATGAATACTACCGGTGATGATCAATTACGAATTGAATGTCAATCGATAACATTTTGGAATAAAGCAACCGATACTCTTCATCCATCATTGGCAAAATTGATTCAATCAACTGAATATCCTTTAGAACAAGTTGTTGTTCCACCTTTTTGGATTTTATCAACAGGTCTCATCGGCATTGGTTACAAAGAAGAAATGATCAAATACGTAATGAAACAATATAATACGACAAATATTCATTTTATCGATACTATTCTACGAGAACAAAGTCAAGAAATAGAAAAGACTCAACAAAATGATCAACAACTAAGAAAAATCAATATATTAGCACGATTGCATTCCTACGACGAAAATGGGACATTAGCAATGTTAATGAAAATTAACGATGAGACAAAAGATTTACCAATGTCGACATTGTCAAATAACATATTATTTGAGGGTGATGATGATATGACATCTGAAGACGAATGGTATCGTAAAACTGTTGGTGATGTAGGTATTCATGAAAAACTAACTGAATGGATACGCGATAAAAAGGAGACAAGTCAATTAATAATAGATGATCCTCGTTATAAATTTGTTGATCTAAGTAAACCAGATTCTGAAGAAACAACAATTGACAATGAACTAAAGAAGAATATGAAAAAATCATTATGTTATTCGCATCGACAAATATCGCGAAAAATTTTTATTCATTCACGGACAAGCTGTGAATATGGTTTAATAACGATTTATGCACGTTATACATTATTGAATATGTTAAAAGTCTGGTATAATGATGATCATTCACATTTATTTCCACTTAATAAATTCGGTGATGGAACTTTTATTGTAACATTATTACGATTGATGGATTACCATTATACATGTACACGTACACATGTAGATGAAACTATCAATAGGATGAAATTATTGATAATGTCAATATTAAAAGTTGAATTAAAAGAATTATTGAAATCTATGATATATGAACAATTTACTGAAGATATACTGAATAGAAAAGCTCCGTTATTCTATCAATTACAAAAACATGTTATTGAAGAATCAATTCATTTTCTTGCTGAACCATCTTTAATTGTTATGAATAATTATAATAATGAAACTATCGATGAAAAAATGTTAATTAAACAATCAAATTTAGATTTTCTTCTAAATATTGTTAGTCTCTTTTTGGAATTATTAACCGATTTTGAGATGAAAAAATATAATATTGATCTGATGATTCAATTACTATTTCCAGCATTATTTGTCAAGATACTATTCGATCTATTTTTATTAGTACCATCACATCAATCTAAAATATTCATTCTTCATCTTTTTACCATGTAAGTAAATTAGAATAGAACGAACAAGTTCGAAGTCGATAAATTCTTTCTATTCACTGCACTAATCACAGAGATTCTGCTAATACCTATTATAATAAATTCTCTACGAATATCGACAAATTTAGTGAATAGGATAAAAAAAATCGACTACAATATAAGAGTTCAAAATCGATTTGAGTTTGCTTTTCTTTTTTATATATTTAAAATAGATTGATCCAATCAAGTGAGAATTTCAAACTTCATAGCAATATTCAACATTTTATTCTACAGCTTTTCATCGAAGTAACAACAAACAAAAGATGTCTAGGTAATTTATTATTGAAAAATTTTCGTATTGCTGTGATGGATCTAGCATTTGCTCTATTTGAACGACACAAAGAATTGATTTTAACATTAAATGAATGTTTATCAGACACACGTGATATATTGATAATTCTCGACGTTATCAATATTTTAACGAACAAAACAAAACAAACTCAATTGCCCGAATTATTTCTTGGTCAATCGAATGCTATTTTAGGAGAAAAACTTCTTTTGACCCAAGAAATGATTGATACGACTCATACTTATTTCGATAGGATGGCTGATGGACAACTAATGAAATTTATGAATCAGAATATTAATCTCGATTGGCATCCGTTACCACATGAATCAATTAATCAGTTCATCGAAAATCTATCAGACGAATCTGTTCCTGATTCAACTAAATATATTTCATATACTTGTTTATGTGATATACCATCAGTACATATAAAAACACGTGCTAAACTTTACTATTTATTCAATATTTTCATTGAAAAAGTCTTACCAATGATTGATTTAAGTTTATCACCAGGTGACAGTATTCTTATCGATCGAATTCAATCAGCACGAAATTATATATTATCTACAACAAAATTTCAATTGTTTAATGATACTTTAGTTAAAACTAGATCCACTTCAGAATTCTGTCCAGACATAAAATTTGATACAGTGAAAGCCAGTCTTGGTGAGCATCCTGAAGATACAATGTTCTATCAAGCATATAAGCAATCATATTCTAACGCATCTCGAGCATTTCGGCGTACGATGGACGAAAGAGCTTGGACAGCCGTTTTTATCGGCATGCATAGTAATGATGGAGGTGGACCTTATCGAGATTCAATAACACGCATGTGCGCCGAATTATGTAGTACTAAATTACCATTATTTATTCTTTGTCCTAATGGACGAACAAACAGTGGTTCAAATTGTGATCGATGGATTCCGAATGTTTTCCCACCAAATCGACCCATACCAGATGAATTTAAAAATCAATATCGTTTTGTTGGACAATTGATGGGCATGGCTATACGTACGAGAAACCTTTTAGATGTTCGATTTCCGACTTTACTCTGGAAACAATTAGTACAAGAAAAAGTTACAATTGAAGATATTGAAGCAATTGACATGCAAAGTTTTACTATTATTAATCAAATGGAAGAAAATATTAAACAAGTAAAAATTCTCAATGAATGTGAAGATGGTAATGTGAATGATGATTGCGATTATTTATTTAGTAGTATCATGAGTGAATTAACATTTGATGTTGTTAGTTCGGCTGGACAAACTTATGAACTTATTCCTGGAGGTTTTCATATTCCTATAACTGCTGCCAATTTCGAAGATTATTGTATGCGCTATCGTCAATATCGTATTAATGAATTTCATCGACAAATTGATTTTATTCGTCAAGGTTTATATAGTGTCGTACCATCGGCTTATTTGACTTTGTTTACAGCTAGTGAATTAGAAGAAGCTGTTTGTGGTAAAGGTTATATCGATATTGAAATGTTGAAACGTCATACATATTACAGTAGTGATTCAGAGACTACATCACATATCAGTCGATTTTGGTCGGTTTTAAGTGAAATGTTTAGTGAAGAACAGAAAAAGCTATTTTTAATATTCGTTTGGGGACGAAGTACCTTACCTAATAGGGATGAAGATTTTTCTTCGAGTTTTACAATAGCTCGTCTGGAAACAAGTGGCAATGTTGATGATGCTCTTCCTAGTAAGTTTATTGAATATTTAATATCTATCAAATAAGAGAGAGAGAGTTCTAGATGAACTTTCGAAACAGATCTATATCGCTCATAAAGCTTGCTTTCACTAGAAATTTATTTAGCTCTTTTTTGATTCATACACCAATTCCAGAAGACCAATTGATAATAGAATCTTATAGATAGATGATTAGTCTCTCTGATATGTTAAAAAAGGCAATTGGGCGACATGAGAAGCCGTGTTTTTTTTTCTTTTGTAAGAGTATCGTGCGAACGAAGTCAACGCTTATCTCATAGTATTCGAATAAAAAAAGAGAAGAAAATAATGAATACACAAATACTAGTCTTGAAACAAAGTATATTTTATCTGATCTATCTTGTGAAATAATTATCTATTTTTCTATAAACTATTGAATAACCACTAAAAATATTTTATTCATAATAAATATGATTTCAACTTTGTCCTTTCTAAGTTTTGCAATGCATATATTTATTGTGGTCTTGATTTCTCTCTGTCTATGCCATATTGCGTAACCTTTGTCTAAAATATATGAAGCTATTATATATCTAAAAAAGCTGTGTAAATTACTAATAGGACTGTTTATCGACGTATATTACACATTGAATCTTGAAGATTTTTGCTTATTGCCGGATCAGAATATATAATTTGAAAAAGTCTTTTTGTCAAATTTATCAGTTTTGAAAGTTCATTATTTCCCAGATGCAACAATTGAAGGAATTCCTTTTCACAAGTCAATAGTTCATAAAGCTTACTAAAAAAAAACGCTTACAAAAATTTGGAATTTCATGCATCATGTAATTATTGTATTCGAATTATAAGTAATGTTTCCAGTGATCAAAGGAGCAAAACGGTTAAAATATCATCCGATGTTTATTGTCAGTAATAAAAAAAAGTAATATAACGATGTTGAGATCTAAGGTCATAAGCTAATGCATAGCGTCTGACATTCTCTTAGTTCCACTGTATTGAGTCTCTCTTGCATTGAAAATCAGATCGAATATTATTCGAGTTTAACTATTTACCATGAACGCATAGATAATTCAAATATGTTAGACATATTTCTATACTAATTTTTAGCAATGAATGGAATTATTTGATTTCTCTTCTAGAATCGCACACATGTGCATTTGGTCTTGATTTACCTCCATATTCAACTAAAGAAATCATGTATGAACGTTTGAATTATGCTATTACTTATTGTTCCAGTATCGATAATGATTGGACCATGAATTAGTCTTCTATCAGTATTCATTAACTATCTTTCGATTCAAATTCTACATTGTGAATAATCAACCTATAAAACAATTTCATAACACGTGGGTTATTTTTTGTTTGAACGCCTACTCAAAACAATTTCAATTTAATTTACGATATTTATCTTAGAACGAAGCCTCTCTTTTTTTGCTTAATAGAGTTCAGTTTTATTTTCTTTCTAAACCGATTTACTAAAATAAACTAACAACATATGAATAAATACTATTAGACATTCGAATTTTTTCTTCTTGGTACACAGTTAGAATTGTGGCAGTCTGTTAACAAGATCTAGAGGCAATAAATGGAAATATGAATGCTCAATCAGAGAGGAAACATGTTGAACAATGAATAAAATTCGCTATCATCTATCAAAAATCCAAATAAATGTTAGCAAACATCTACTATGATATCAGAGCCTTAATACAAAAAGAAGTATAATTATCCATGGGGGCAACGCAATGAATCATCACAGGTACCTATCAGTTGTTATTGTCTGTTGATTATGATGTACATGAATATAATAGACAAGTGATGCGCAATAATGAAGACAGTATATTTCTGCTTCTCATCCTTCAGGTCAAAAAACAAAATCTTGTCTGTACTGCAAACCAAAAAAATAAATGAAGCTTACAGATGTAGAAAGTATATAATTATTGTTAATATTACAAGGACATGTGATAAGTGATACATTTCGATAAGAAAGATACAACTTTTCAGAAGAGATTAGTATCGTTTCATTGAACAGCCAATTCTTTGCCATTGATAATGAATGAATTTGATGTCATAAAATACTATTTCAACCGTTACTTTTAGGTTGAAACATAATAATCGTTACAATACATATGGTTTGAGAATAGATAGATCAGATATACCGTATGTAATTCATATTTGATGAACCATATATAACTATTAGATTTAAAAAAAAAACGGACTATCACCATTATAATTCAATCAAACAGTTTGATTTATTCTTTTAGTGATAGAAGCTTATTTTAACTGTGCTTCTTTTGTACGGATATGAGAAATAAATTAACTGTCCGAAAGAGACACAATTATATGAACTGACCGATCAACAATTTTCAATTTAAGGTTCTCATATATCGAGCATGGGGATGGCTCGAAAATCATCTGACCCGCGTAGAAGAGATGTTAACTCGACTGATCGCATGAAAGCAGTATGTGAACCGAGTGTGGATTAGATTCGAACACTCTCGGATCTGTAAATTTTTTTTTTATTGGTCGGGTCTGAGTCTGATTCTACTGAGATACTCAGACAAATCATATCTGTTGATCAAATATAAATTATTATCAACTTTGCACAGATTGATCTGCAATCAAATTTGACGTGGAATTCAATAGGAAATGCCAAAATTTTTCAACGTCTGTTTTAAATTTTCATTTTAAATTCATCCACACCAGCCACCTACACAATACCGAATATCTAATTTTCGAGTTAGGCTTTATGTGCAAAACAATTTTCTATAATAGTACGGCGCAAATTTTGATAATCGTAACGTAATCATTCATAAGCGTAATGTGGGATTTAGATAGATTTGCATATGTTTTACAAGTGCACTGAAACAAACGAAAAAAAGCCTATAAACATATCTACATGTCAACAATAAGCTTCTAAAGTTGTTTTTGACAGCAGTATAGGCTTTTATAATAACTACTCATTTGAATTCAAAATACATTCTGTATAAATTTTTTCGGCGGACACAAATGAATGATACAGACTATCAAACACGAAATTATTTTTAATCAGGTTGTTTTCTCGGTGATTCTACAACTAAATTAAGAAAAATTCATCGATCCTTTTCAACTGATTTGGAAGACTTGTATAAACAGAAAACTAGATAAAAAATCTAATCTTTTTGACTGAAAAATCGATATTGATTAGATTGTTGCCGAATTTTTGCTCACATTGACTATTCTTATCAAAATTATCGATAAATTTACAGCATAGGAAAAAACGAACAATGTTAGTACTATGTTTATTTTCTCGTTACTTTTCGACAGGATAATAAAATAGTTTTTTTTGTTACGATTATTCCGTCAAGTAATTCACAGGAACAGTAATATTGAAACCAGAAACGCAAGAATATATTTTACCTGTTGAAGGCTTCTTGAATCATAAGAAACGTGACAAGTATACAAAGATGTACAGGGTGTTGCAAAACCTTTACGCCCCCCAGGTTCGACCTTAAAGTAAAATGATTGCACTAAGTATTTTATACCAAATTGAAGCCCGTAAAAAACTGCATTTATTGGTACCAAATAGTAAAGGTTATGAAGACCTTTTAATGTCGAACTTCCGAGATTTTCAGAAATTTGACACCTTTTTTAGTGTCGAAAAGTAAGGTGCCAGTAATTCAAATACGAAATAAAACATTTTTCTTAGATATTTTTACATGATTCGATAGAGCTCGATGAGGTTTAGAAAACTAAATATTTCAAAAATACTTTGAGCCATCTTTTCGCGATAAAAAATTCAAAAAACTACAGGGAAAATCTCAAAAAATTCATCTTCTTTTCATATGAAAAAAAGCATGCAATTTTTTCAATAACATTAGTTTTTTTCATTAGTTATGTTAGCTCAGACATTTTGAAATATACTCATTCGATGCTACGTCAAAAACTGCATAGAATGAGCACATTTCGGAACGTCTGAGACAGCAAAAATAATAAATAAAACTTAATTTTATTGAAAAATTGAGTGTTTTTCTTTCATATGAAAAAAGTAAAGTTTTCAAATATTCGTTGTGATTTTCAAAGCAGTTTTTGAACTTTTTATCTGAAAAAGATGGCTCAAAGTATTTTTGAAATATTTAGTTTTGTAGACCTCATCGAGCTCTATCGAATCATGTAAAAATATCTAAGAAAAATGTTTTTTTTTCGTATTTGAATTACTGGCACCTTACTTTTCGACACTAAAAAAGGCGTCAAATTTCTGAAAATCTCGGAAGTTCGACATTAAAAGGTCTTCATAACCTTTACTATTTGGTACCAATAAATGCAGTTTTTTACGGGCTTCAATTTGGTATAAAATACTTAGTGCAATCATTTTACTTTAAGGTCGAACCTGGGGGGCGTAAAGGTTTTGCAACACCCTGTAGTTACAGGTTTGAACCTGTTCACTGAAGAAAAGTTACCCGTATAATTTGCGAGCAAAACAATATTGCACAAGAAAAGTGTAATTTTCGCAATGGCGTACTACGTGAAAATAATCCTAGTTAAAGGCCTCTGTAAATACGAATTGAGAATAGAAAAAAAAACAGAGTGAATCATGATTGTTTGATAAGCATTTACATGTTGTTGATTGAACAAATGAGTCAGAAAAAAAATAATCAAAATGATGAAGTAATGGTCAATAATAACATTTAATTAGTATTATGTACCTGCTTACATCAATTCTTGTAACAACTTTTTTTATTTTCAAGATACCGGTTCATGTTTCTATCGGTATCTTGTGATCTCATTTTGTTAATTTTGTAAAATAAATGCGCAAAACGAATAAGATTCCTAGTATCCCGTATTCCTATTTATGTCTACATGTTTTGACATATTAGATGGAACGACAAGAATAACAACAACAAAAGCTTATTGAGGATTAGATCAATTTTCATCGAAGATCCATATTTGACTGTGCTTCAACTGGATATATCTTTCGGTCAACATAACTAGCGAAATAAGATATGTGCTTATATTGCAAAGCTCGTGGCAAATATTTT